TTGCAGGCTCATTTTCATTCATTTATGATTCATCCCTTCCCTCAATGAGAGTGCTAAGCCCTGACCAGGGCTGATAGTCAGCTGGCATGCAGGCATATAGCTTAAAATATTAACATACTTCTGAATCTGTTGGTAAGCTGCTGCTGTCTCAAGCCCCTCAATCTCCCCAGCCCCTCCCATCCATCACTGCAGCCACCCTGACTCCTCCCCTAGGACCTTCATCCCCCCAATCTGTCCCCTCTCTTAAGCAATGGAGGAGTTAACCTGTAGCAGGGCATTTCAGGGTTTCTCTGGTGGTTCAGAGAGCAAAGAATCTGCTTGCAATGAGGGAGACCTGGGTTCAATCCCTGGGTTGGGAAGATCTCCTGGAGGAGGGCATGGCTCACCCCAGTGTTCTTGCCTGAAGAATCCCCCCTGGACAGAGGAGCCTGGTGGAGTACAGTCCATGGGGTTGCAGAGTCAGACATGACTAAGCCCAGTACAACACAGCAGGGCCCTTTCAGGATGAAGTACACATTTGCAGAGAGAATGATGTAAAGAAGGTATGGAGAAGCACACATTTTGGCTTTCAGGAGCTGAGAGATGCTTGATCTCTGTGGAAGGGCTGATAACTGATCAGTCCTGGCACATCCTTTCTGTTTGTTTTTGGCCACACTGTGAGGCTTGTGGGATCTTAGTTCCCCAAGTGGGGATTGAACCCAAGCCCCCTGCAGTGGAAGCACAGAGTGTTAACCAAGGGCCCTGGGCCCTGGCGCATCTTATCTCTTCTGAGATCTGCTGGGCCGTGGCCTGAGCCTCATGGGTGGAGGAAGCTCTTTCCTGAGTTCTGTAGCCTCCTTCCTCTGGCTGGTTTCTGCCTCTGGCAGTTGTCCTCAGCATCCTCTTCACCCCATCCTCCCCGCCCCCACCATCCTTTCCCCACACTCACACTTTTCTTCAGCATCTTTCCTCACTGATGTATTAACCTGAGTTCATAAATCGTGTTCTCACTCACCATTCCCACAGCCCCTGCAATCACAAATGATCTATTAATTCAGTCATTACAACCATTACTGCAATTACTATTATTGTGCCTTTATCTTGAGCTGTTTTGTATAAGAGGAAGATGATGTAACTGATAGGGATGGAGAGCAGCTGGTAATTTGCTCAAGAAAAGAAATGAGGGTTTTCTTATGGATCCTTCATTTGGTAAACCACGGGGGTGGGGAGGAACTTCAGAAATGAGGGCCAGCTAGCAGTGGAGAACTTCTCGGGTAAAAGCAGGGCTCCGGACTTCCCTGGTGGTCCAGTGGTTAGGACTCTGTGCTTCCACTGCAAGGAGCACAAGTTTGATCCCTGGTGGGAGCACTAAGGTCTTGCATGCCATGTGGTATGGCCGAAAAAAAAAAAAAAGAGGGCTGCATACTTAGAGGCAATTACTTTCCCTCTATTTTACAGATCTGAAAACCAAGATTTACAGAATAGTTGTGATGTTTGCATTGGATAGAATGCATAAAGCGCCTGACACCACAAAGCAGCCACAGTTAGGTCTGCTCTGATCCATCTGGCCATTTCAGGGTGTCTCCTTAATGGCACCCCTCATGCTTGAAGGCAGGTATGGTTGATCACTCTGTGGATAAAGAAGTGCAGTTGGGTTCAGTGTGACTGAAAAAGCATCCCTTTCACCTTTCCTCCTCACCTCTCATACCCAAGAAACTACCTGTGTGCCTCTCTCCATGGTCCTGAATCATTGCGGCACGGACAACTGTTTTTCTGAAAAACGGGGGTGAGGCGGGGCAGGACACATCTCAAAGCGTCTGCCTCCCCCACCAAGGCCATACTTACAGCCGACAGTGAGTCCCTTGATTATGATTCAAGGTAGCTCCTGGGTTTCAGAACTTGAACTTCCTAGAAATCCCGGAAGACTTTCTGCATGTTGCTCCCTTTTCCTCCCATTGTTGCCTTGGTGTTGATGTCCTGACTTTGGTGACCTGAGCTGCCGGCTGTTAGAGCATTTTATCCTCCCACTCCTACGAGGCAGGGGCTGTCATTAGGACATTTTACAGATGAGGAGCTGGAGCACAGAACACCACGCAGGTGTGGGGAGAGAAGCGACTGCAGAAGTGGAGAAAGGCCAGATCAGGAGGATGCCACCTGTCACAAAATGGAATCTGGATTTGGTCGTGTGGGCAGTGGGGAGCTTACAACTGGGTGAGGTAAAGAGAGGATTTCTTTGAGACAGAACAGAAAAAGATATAATCAAGAAGGAGAGGGTGGGAAGACCAAGGAGAGCTGGTGCCCTAATGTCCCTGGGGAGCAGAGAGAGACTGAGGTCTGGACTTGAGCTTGCATAGTTCCTGACATGAGGTAAGTGTTCAGACGATGCTAGGGATTATGACCATTCCAGTGGAGGTGGAGGAATCTCGGTGGGCTTCACAGAGGAGGTGGAATTGGAGCCCGCCATTGAAGGATGGAGACGATTTGGACGTGTGGTGTTGTGGGGGAGCAGGAATGCAGGTGGAAGAAATAGCATGAGCAAAAGCAAGTCGGTGCTCATACCCTGAACAGCTCAGATCCAGAGGTCGTGGAAGAGAATATCAGAGGCTCAAACCAGGAAATGCAAAGCTAACCTGAGTTTGGACTTTGTTCGGCAGACAGTGGGAGGCCGTGGGAGATGCTGAGCAAGAGTGATTGCCTCAGCCACCACCATCTCTCTGAGCTTTTATATCAGCTCTTAACTCTCTTCTGACCCCCCACAACAGCTGGGCTGTGGCAAGGGTGGAGGTCTTTTGGAAACTTGTATCCAATTCTACCATCCTCTGCCCCTAGGTTTCAGGTAGCCAAAGTACTGAAGCTTCAGCTTTAGCATCTTTCCAATCTCATACCTCAATCCAAATATCCTCCCTTTAGGAAGTGTTCCCTGACTCTCTCCTTTTACAAACTCTCATAGGACCAGGTACCTCTTCTTTGAAACACTACCCACAGTTGCAATTTTACTTTTGTGGGGTCATGATGGTGGCCTGCCTCCCCCACCGGGAAGCAAGCTCCATGAGCATAACAGCTGGGGGCTCTCTTGTTCACTGCTGCATCCCACGGTCCTAGCACCAGGCCTGGCATGAGTATCTGTAGGATGGACTGGTGGTGTGGGGAGTAGAAAGGAGAGAAAGAGAGCTTGGAGCCAAGGGGGCATCTTCATGAGGCTGTTGCCTTGGCTTGAGTGACAAGTGGCACCTGGAACTAAGGCAGGTGCAACAAAGCTCCAGAGGACAGTTGCAGTGAAATTGACGAGGAGAGGAAATTAATTACTATGTTGGGATGGGAGGGGAGCTATAACTCAGTGGGAGAACTCTAGGCTGTTGATAATAACTGGGGCTTGAACAAGAGGAAGGAGAGCACAAGGCAAGGAGCAGATCTGGGAAGCAGGAAGCTGTGGTTTGGGGCAAAGGGAGTCAGGGCACGCTGCAGCGGACAGGTGGTGCTGGTCTGGAAGGAGCTTGGCAGAGGGAACCAGGGGGTGGGGCTGAGGGATCGGTTAGAATTCTGAGAGATGAGGGTAGGACCCAGGTGCGTCACTGAAGAGAACACAGACGGGAGGGTTGCTGCTCTGAACTTCAGCTTCTTCAAAAGTGGGCAACACTGCCAACCTCGTAGGATGATTCTGAGCCTAAATGAGGTAATTTAGGCACAGTCGTTAACAAGCTGCATGACATAAAACAAGGGCTCAATAAGTCTTTGTCATCGTTGTTCACCATCATCATCAAGGTACCTGACGCTTCCATGCTGAACTCAGGAGGTTCCAATAATCAGAACATAAAAAAAAATAACCAAACAGGGACTTCCCCGCTGGTCCAGTGGCTCCGACTCTGTGCTCCAAAAGCAGGGGGCCTGGGGTCAATCCCTGGTCAGGGAACTAGATCCCACGTGCTGCAACTAAAAATGATCCTGCATGCCACAATTAAGACTTGGCGCAGCTAAATAAATTAATAAAAAACAAGATGTGAAAGCAGTCACCACCTTTAGTGGACTCCTTCCTGTTCCTGTTCTAGTGGTCCAAGTTCTAGAGCTGGAGGAATCTAGAGGTCAGCAGCCAGCCCTGGGCAGTGGTGAGGGGTCCCCAGGGACAAGCTTGGGACATACCTCCTACTGAGCCACTCCTGGGCCGCTCAGAATATCCTCTGTCTCTACATCCTCTGTTCATCCCCCTCCTCACACCCACCTGATTTAATCCAACCAAGCGGGGCCAAGAGAAGCTGAGCTCCCTGAGGATGATAGTAATCAGATATGGTCCCTGTGAAGCCATCCATGGCTCCACCCCAGCCCGAGCCTTGCTGATTCAAACCCAAGACACCTCACCTTTCCAGTGTGATCAGGGAAGTGGGCTTGGTTGAACAAGGATGTGGTACCTGGGTGGGAAATTGGGGGAGGGAAGACCAGTGATTTCTTTCCTTTTATGGCAAAAGGGGGCTCATAGAGAAAAGGAGGCAGGTGTGCTGGGCCGTAGAAAAAGTCACAGGGGCTGCCTTAATGCGGCTACAGGAGTGAGCCTTGGGCTGGTGTTCAAGGGGGCCTGGCTTATCTTTCCCACCAGCTCAGCATGGCCTGGACATGGTTCACCCTCCCAGGCCCGCAGTCTCTACTGTACCCCCTGCCCATCCCTGTCCTGAGATAACACCCTGGGGGCTTCCCTGGCCATCCCGTGGTTAAGACTCCGTGCTTCCACTGCAGGGGGCATGGGTTCGATCTCTGGTTGGGGAACTAAGATCCTGAGATAATGCCCGGCATTGCTTGGTTATGTTTCCAGCTGTCCCCAGCCAACGATGGGCAAGCTTGGTTAGGGATCCCCACAAGAGGTCTGGCCACTTGAGTCCAGGCCACTTCTCCTGAAGGAGGTCCCTGCCTCTCCCCTAGGGGGGCTGCTCAAGTGTGGGCTGCAGTGGGGACAGGGGTTTGTTTGGAGGCTCAGGCAAGGGGCCCCCTGCAAGGCTGATGAGGACAGGGTTTCTACCACCCTCTCTCTGCAGTCTCGAAGTAGCGTGCAACAGGGGGACCTGGACGGGGCCCGGAGGCTGGGCCGCCTGGCCGGGACACTCAGCATCACCTTCATCATCATGGGGATCATTATCATCATTGTGGCCGTGACTGTCAACTTTGCAGGTGAGGCCCAGAGGCACCCCAGCTCCCTTGGTGTGGGGACCACAGAAGGATGTGGCCCAGCCCCCCGGGACAGGGGTGGTGGTGGGGAGAAGGGTAAGAGCATGTGGGCACCACAGCCTTCACCTCACACCCCAGAAAAGCAAGCATTCCAGTCGCCTGCAGGGACCGGCTGAGTGGGATTGGCTTTCTGACTCTCCAATGGCTGGAGAGTAGATCACCAGGAAAGGTCATGGAAAGAGCATGGGCCCAGGAGGCAGAGGCCACAAGCTCCAGTCTGGGCTCTGACGGTCCTGCACCAGGGTCTGCCTGGTCGAGCCTTGGGGTTTTCATGTCGAAAGTGGGAGGAAGAAACCTCCAGCACAGAGGCTTTTGTGAGCATCACCTGAGATGGCGCATGTGACTCTGACTTGTAACCTGGGGGCTTGCCACACACCATCCCTGCTGAGACAGGCAGGTCTTACTGGAAGGAAACCATGCCTGTGCTGGAAGTCAGGAAGTGAGACTTTCGTGAACGCCCAAAGGTGGTCCAGGCAAGTTATCCAAGCAAGGTGACCAACCTTTTCAAAGGTGCTACTCACAAAGCCCAGCAACTTTGAAAATTTCTGGGCTATGTGGGTCTGTATTGTCCATTTCCCTCTAATCACACACTGGTATTGGAAGCCTCCAACCACCTCTGCCCCTTTGGTGACCAACCTACGCTTTTCCCCTAAAGACGTTGCCCTACCACCTGAGCCCCTTGGGCCAGCAGCTTGGCTGTTGATACTGGGAACAGGTTGTAAATATAGAATCTCAGGCCCCACCCAGACCCACTGAATAAAAATCTGCACTTTAGTAAGATTCCCAACCCCATCATTAAAGTTTGGGAGGTACTGGCCTAGAAAACAGAGCGTTCATCTTGGGGCAGAAATCCTGGGATTTGGCTGCAGGGTCATGGCCTCATACGAGAGGGAAGAGTTCAGCTTTGTAATCAGCCAGTCTGGGTTCAAAAATGCAAGTCCTCTCCTTTACCTGTTTGAGCAGAAGCATGTTCCACAAAGTTTGAGAGGCATGCAGGTCCCTGTGAGGCAGGAGCCCACTCACCCAGGGCATGAGCCTCAGCATCACTTTCCAGTGCCCCAGTCTCTTTGTCTTGCTCTGCTTGAATCTGACCCACGACTCTTTCCTTGTGTATTAGTGTTAGCCACTCAATTGTGTCCGACTCTTTGCGGACAGATGGACTGTAAGCCCACTGTAGTCCATGGAAGTCTCCAGGGAAGAATACTGGAGAGGGTTGCCATTCCTTTCTGCAGGAGATCTTTCAGACCCAAGGATCAAACCTGGGTCTCCTGCATTGGCAGGTGAATTCTTTACCATCTGAGGCACTGGGGAAGCCCATGTTACGTTCCATGGCAAGTAACAACCGCTGAACTCAAATTTGCAAGGGGACTGTTTAGCTTTCACTAAAATATTCAAGCAGGAATGTGTCTAGCCTCAGGGGTCACCATGCCCACCTGTGAAACAATCACTGAGACGCCAGTCCTCTCCTTGGCAGGAGTTTACTTCCACCCGGAAGCTCAAACCGAATCACCTCTGTTACCATTTCCCCCTAGGAAACAGAACCCCAAATCCTCCAAAAAGGGCCCGGGAGACCCGGTGTTCTGAGTTCCGTCCTGCTGTCACTGTTCTTTTCTTTACAGTTCCGAAGAAATGAAACTCACAAGGGGGCGGTGCTAGCAGAAGCAGCCCCAGCCCATTGAAGAGCTCCACCCACACGCCTCCCGGAGGACAGGACGATCCCCCAGCTCGAAAAGCACAAACTTGGAGGGAAACCCCCCAAGTCACCCCATTGCTAGCCCACATCAAATGGCGGGAAAAGAGAGGAAGAAAGGAAAGGAAATGGACTCTGAAACAGATGAATAATGTGGTCCAGTCTTCTGGGCACGTCCCCGTATTTTAACCCCCGGGCTCTGGCTGGTTTCTCATCCCTGTGGTTTCCTGGGATTGGCCAAGCAGGCATATACTGCCAGAGTGAGAAGAAACCACTCCCGCCAACGAGACCATGGTGGGGAGAGAGTCCCTGCGTGTCTCATGACCAAGAGCAAAGACACAGACTTTATCTTTTCTATTTTTCTTGAGGTGGGATGAAAAAAAAGACTGTCTGCATGCCTTGTGCCACACGCCTGAAGCGATCCCAGCTGGTGCCCTGAGCTCAGAGGCTGAACTGCTGCTTAGCACCTGCCCTGTAACCCCTCGGACGCATGGGACGTGTAGCTGCCCTGGAAAGAGGCAACAGCCACCCTTAAATCCTCCATCGCAGGATGAGGGCACCAAGAGGAGTGTTGGTAGAGACAGAAATGGGGACAGCATGACCTATGGACCTCTTCTCAAACATTTCAGCCTCAGGAGCATCTCGGTTGAGAAGCCTGGTCCCAGAACATCTCCCGGGATGACCCAAGTCTGCCTCTTGTTCCCTACCTGGGCTGCAGTCTGGAGCACCAATCAAGAATTCCCGGGGCCCTGACTCCGTCTCCAGGTTGGCTAGTGAAGAGGAACTCAGGCCTGAGCTCTCATCCGGGGACCACCTGGTTGTCTGGGGCACAAACTCAGGGTTTCATGCGGAGGGGCTCAGGGTCCTGTGCAAAGCGGCTGAAGGTCCTCATGCAGAGTGGCTCAGGTGGGGCATGGCTCCCAGCTCCCACCCCAGCTGCCTCTGATGCTCTATGCCTCACCCTGCGCCCCTGACAAGCCTCTAACAGCAAAGCTTTTCCCCAGAGTCTGCCTTGGAACCACCCCTGGGGGAAATTCCTATAGGCTCCCAGGTCCTTAGGGATGTCTGTGCCTCCTTTAGGGGTGTGGGTCCAAGAGTTTTTGTGAAGGTTTGTTATTTCCTGGGTCTAGAGAATTTCAAGACGGAGGGAAGAGCCTGGCTGAAAGGTCCTGTCTTCGGGAACTCTGGGCTCGGGAACACACTCACATGCCCAGAATCAGGGGCCTGGACACCATGGCCTGTGTCTCAGGACCTAATGGGGCACCAGGAGGGAGTGAAGCAGGGCCCCTCAGACTTCCCCCTGGTCTTTCCTGATCCCACTTCCCCAGCTGACTGCAGCCCCCAAGCCCTGAGTAATGGATGCTCTGGGCTCCCCCTACCCCCACCCCAGGAGGCCCTGCCTAGCAGCCAGGGTTCCAGGAGGCTGGGAGGGCATATTGGCTCCAAGTTGGCTGAGAATGTTTTCTCTGCCCCTAATCAGCACCCTCATGCCTCCTTTTAGGGCTCCCGCACATCTCCCCCACCCTCCTCAGAGGCTCCTGGGGAGGGAGACTGTTAGAGGTTCTGTCTTCCGGGAGGAGCTCTGGCGGGTGCAGCTCTGAGCCTTCTAGGAGGGCCTGTGTGATGGAGGAGAATCGAAGGGAGTGTTCAGTGCCCTGGAACACTGTATAGATCCCTCTGGGGCTGGCATTCCTGCGTCAGTGCCCCACCTGGGAATAAACCCCAGCCTCTCTCACATCTAAAGGAGGGGCCTGCTGAATCTGTTTTATGGGAACTCTGAAGCCAAAACAGAGATGCCCCTGTTTGTTGGGGAAGGAAGGGGATGAGTCCAAGAGTCTTTGTATCACTTTCAAGATCAGGCCAGGGGAGTCATGTGGTCTGTGAATCTGACAGTCACAGGCCCCAGCTCTGGAAGGAGGAGTCATGAGTGAGCATCTCCTGGTAGGCCCCAAGGGGTCCCCAGCTTCAGCCCCTCAGGGAGATGACAGCAGTGAATCAGACTGTTTAGGCATGGTCTCATGGGCAGAGGCAGGACTGCGGCCTCTGTGTGCTTCGGGACCATCACACACATGCACCTGTCCTGCTGTCCACAGTCACACCTATGAAAGCAGACCCTCACTGCCCCCTGCCACCCACACTGGCTCCTCCTCCAAACCCAGAATAGCAGAGAAAGAGAGAAGCTGCTGCAGACAGCTGCAGGAGCAGACACAGCAGGAGCATCCTTCCATTTGGGCAAGAATGACTAGAGTTTTCTACTCATACCGAGAATGTAGCTCAGAGGCCCCAAGAGGCTGGCCCTTCTGGCAAAGAGGAGCCGAGGATGGGAAACCCTTTGGAAGTAAGACTGGGAGAGAAGGTCCTCAATGCCCCTCACCGACAGGGCACCTGACACCCTCAGGCCTTGGTGAAGATGAAGGGACAGTGGCCCTGCCATCCCAGCTCCATAGTGGGTCCAGCACTGGCTGCATGAACACAGTGGTCCCCCGGCTTGTGGTGCTGAACCAGCCCCTGCCCAGGTCCCCTAGGGAACAGCACGCGCTACCCCCCACCCGCCCCCAGTTACCAGTTCTTGTGTCTGTATTTCTCTGCATGGAAAGAAATAAAGCTGACTGTCTATCAAGACCTGTGTGTTTGTGCTGCTGGGCTCAAGGGGCTCCAAACAAATTGGGGGCACTGGGGAGCCTGGCAATCCAGAGGTTCTGTTGCAAGCATGTAGCATTCCCTTGGACAAGCCATTTGTCCTCGCCTAGACTTAGTTCTCCGATTAGTGATGCTGGTCTTCCCTTGGTTGTTCCTTCTGAACAAAGACCTCAGAAGTTGAAGAGGAGGTCAGGAGGCTGTGCGGGACGTTTTGCAAACCTTGATGAATCCACATGGCCATCTGAGGGAGTCGCTAGTGTTATCCTGGGTTTCAGGTTGGTAATCCAAGGCTCAGAGAGGTTCAGACACTTGACCTGGGTCACACAGGACTTGGCCATACAGAAGGTAGTGAAGAAATGTTGGTGAACTGTGTCCCTAGGTCTGACCCCAAAGTTGGTTTCTTGCTGCCATCTCTGCTGCCTGGAGAGTAGAGCCCCCTGGAAAGAAGGTGAGTTAGTTGTGTGTGTGGTAGGGGGCAGGGTGTGCGGGGTGAATCTATTTCCAGGATGACTGCTTGATGGTGGAAGGTGGCAAGGGCTTTAGAAGTGAGGAGCTGGGCGTAGGCAGAGCCACTGGGCTGGGCAGTCAGCAGGAAAGGAAGGAATGGCCACGT